GGAGCCCCACCCCCTCCGAGAGGAGGAGGGGGGTCACGGAGCCCCGCCCCCTCCGCGAGGAGGAGGGGGGGTCACGGAGCCCCACCCCCTCCGAGAGGAGGAGGGGGGTCACGGAGCCCCGCCCTTCACACTCTGGTTTCAGTCCAGGTCTTGGACTCGACGGCAGATTTCTGTGGTGAACTCGGAGCACTTAGAGTTTCCTCCTAAGTCCTTGGTCAGCACCTGGAACAGTAGCAGCACTCGTTACCACGGCAACAGCACCAATCATTTAGCGACTGATTAACTTTAAAGAGTCTCATGTGCCACATCGATCAAATCATTATGACCAGCGGCCTCAGAACCCATCAGAACCGCCTCACCTTCTTCTCCTTGATGGTGTCGAAGCACGCCGTCTGGATCTTGGCGGCGTGTTGGTGCAGCCCCATGTGGCGCAGCATCATGACGGCGCTGAGCAGCAGGGCGGTCGGGTTGGCCAGATCCAGGCCCGCGATGTCTGGGGCGGTTCCGTGCACCTGCAGGACACACACAGGTCCGGTTCACTCTCCCTCACAGACTGGTTCTGATTCTGAAGACACAGAACCTGGCAGGCATCGCGCCCTCTGCTGGGTTCTGTTAGGACTGCGCCATGTCTCCTGGTTCTGATCCAATCTCCTTCCTGCACAACCAACAATTGGTTGGTCCAAATGGTTTTCCACTTGGACCCGCTTCCTTTCAGGATCCAAGCAGCACTCAGTGAGTGTCTGGAACCAGAACCGTGACTAAAGTAATAGTAATAACAATAATACCATATTTTCCGCACTATAAGGCGCACCTAAAAAAGCCGACAGTGCCCCTTATATATGGACCAACATTGAGCCACAACAGGTCTAGCAACTACGGTAAGCAGCCGCCGACTTCATTTTTGCCGGTAGAAGAAGAAGCGCGCGGTGCATGCTGGGATAGTTGTCAGAACGCTGGTTTGTTAATAAAGTTTGACTGACCCATCTACCTACTGACCGTCTAGAACAGTGGTTCTTAACCTTTTTTGAGGTACTGAATCCCCCAGTTGCATATGCGCATTTACCGAACCCTTCTTATCCCCCCCCTCCCCCGACACAGACGTAATTAAAGACACAAGTTCAAATCCATGCTGAGAGTGGAACTCCTTCAATCAGTGCTCCTCTGCAGCTCTGAACATGACAAGTTCATGTTCAGAGCACTTGTCATGTGCACTGAACACATGACAGTACACAAGTGTGTTTTTACCTCTGCGGCAGAGGCTCCGCTGAACCCCTGAGGCTAAGAACCACTGGGCTAGAATCAGGTCGTCTGCAGGTCATTTAGCGCCACGTTCTCCACGTTCTCTGTTCGCTGGGTGACCATCGTCCGGCCCCGCCCCGGCCCCAGAAGGCTCTCCTCGCCAACCGGAGTCGGACTGTTTTGTTGACATTCCCTTTAGTGCAGCTCCATCTAGTGGATGCATAACGTAACTCCAGCCTCGACAGTAGCATCTATTCTATGCGCCTTATAGTGCGGAAAATACGGTAATAATAATAATCTATCTATGAAGTGAGATCTTTAAAATCTGCTTATTAAACCCAGACCCAGTAGATCGGGGTTATTGACACCAGAACCACTAGGACAGTCGACCAGGCCGCCATCAGAACTGGATGATTCTGAGGGTCTCACCGACTCAAAGATGGCGACTCCGTTGGCACCGATGTTCCCACTAGGAGTGACTCCCAGTCCTCCAATCAAACCAGCACACAGGTCACTGAAACACACAAGGTCAGAAGGTCACCTAAGGTCAGCGCTCAGATTGAAGGCCTCTGATTGGCCGACAGCGTGTGACTGACCTGAGGATGTCTCCGTACAGGTTGGGCATGACCAGGACATCGAACTGGGTCGGGTCCTGAACCATCTGGAAGAACACGGGACAGGTTAAAGGGGAGGCGTTTCCCAGATCTGGGTCAGAACCGGATCCGTTCGGACTCACATTGAGGCACACGGTGTCCAGGTACATCTCTGTGAACTTCACGTCCTTGAAGTTCTCGGCCACTTCCCGACACTTCCTGAGGAACAGCCCGTCCGACATGCGCCTGCAGAGAGACGGCAGACCCGCATCAGTCTGGCCCGGTTCTCCAGAACCGCAGAGAAGCCGACCGGGACGGCAGCCTCACATGATGTTGGCCTTGTGGACGGCCGTCACGCTGCTCCTCTGGTTGTTCCGGGCGTACTCGAAGGCGTACTCCGCAATGCGTCTGCTGGCGTCCTCCGTGATCAGCTTGATGCTCTGAACGACGCCGTCCACGATCTGGAACAACCGGACCAGAACCACATGCTCAGGTTTCTGATGGACTGGAGGAGGAACCGGCAGGAACTGAAGGCTTCCCTTCTTCAAGCATTAGCTTCTGCTAATACATAGCTACCACAAGTATTTAGCTTATATTCAGGCTTGTTACAAGTTATCACCAGCAGGGGGCAGCAGAGTCTCTGCAAGAGCATTCAGGGTGAAGAGTTCCCTGTGGTTATCTAGCATGAACATTAGCCTGCTCACAGTGAAGCATGGTGGTGGCAGAATCAGGATGTGGGGACTGGGATCAGAAAGAGAGATGGGTCTAAAAGGAACCAGAACCTGACCAGAACCGGGCAAGAGGTTGGAAAGAAATCCAAGATGAAAGCACAAAGGTCCGAGGTGGAGGAACAAGAGAACTCCTCCTTCTACTCACCACGTGTTCGATGCCGCTGTACTCGCCCTCCGTGTTCTCCCGGATGGTGACCAGGTCCACGTCTGTGTACGGCGTCCTGTAGCCCTCGATGGAGACGCAGGGACGCACGTTGGCGTAGAGGTCAAAGGTCTTCCTGAGCAGCAGGTTCATGGATGGATGACCGGCGGCGATGGGGGTCTTCAGAGGACCTGGACGAGTAGAGGCCAGATTGGTGAGCAACACAGCAACAGGAGCAACAGGAGCAACAGAGCAACAGGAGGAACAGAGCAACAGGAGCAACACAGCAACAGGAGCAACAGGAGGAACACAGCAGCAGGAGGAACAGAGCAACAGGAGCAACAGAGCAACAGGAGCAACAGAGCAACAGGAGCAACAGAGCAACAGGAGCAACAGAGCAACAGGAGCAACAGGAGCAACAGAGCAACAGGAACGACACAGCAACAGGAGCAACACAGCAACAGGAGCAACTTCGCTGCAGCATCATTTGCGGAATCGTTACCGTCCGCTGCAGCGTCAGCCGTATCGTTGGCGGCAGAATCAGCATTAGCTGCAGTGCTCTAGCAGTCGCACCACTTTTTTCAGTGAGGAGTAATCCAACACGTTGCTATTTCAAATCCAGTAGTCAAACTTTAGGTACTTATCCAAACCACTGGTACTATTTTCTTTTGTAATTCAGTTTTATTTCCTCTGTGCTTCTTGAGAGTGACCGCCATTTCTATGCGACAGTATCAGTAGCAACAGAAACAAACAATGGAGGGAGATATGCATTTTGTTGGTGAAAAAACAGGAACTATTTTGAGTTTCTGTCGCCAAATCTGATTATTATAAGCGGCTTTGGGCTTGTTTTATTTCTAAAGTTGCTTGCAAATTTAATGAGTCACTGGCTGAGCTTTTTTGGGCTCCTTTCTGAACATGAAGTTACTCATTTGGGCTTGGAAATAAGCAGAGACTCATAATAAATCCCAGAATTAGTCTGAGATCCAGTTACTTTTAGTCAGACTCTCCTTGTCCATCATTTCCCGGATGATCCGTCCCGCTTCTCTTTGTTAATGTTAATATTTTACCTCTGAATGACGTCGAGCTTCGTGTTGCGCTCCAGAAAACTGGAAACATCGAGACTAATATGAACGGCATAAAAAACGTGAAAACAGCCACGAATGAGCGAGTTTGTAAAGTTGTGCAACTAAACGCCATTATAAGAATTAATATTAAGATAAGTGTCACAAATCTGTGCAGCAGGAGGAGCTCTGTGCGCTGCGCTCCGACACAGGGCCGTAACACAGAACCTGGAGGGTGGGGGTGGGGGGAGGGGGCTCTAAAATCATATTTATAGTTTTCCTGACAATAAAAACACACAAAAACATGTACAAATTACTAAAGTTTTTCTTTTTGGTCTGTTGTAACCATTAAACAATCTCCCCTTCAGTTTAACCATATAAGTGGAGACACATTGTTGATGTTATAATAAAATAACTTGTAATTAAGTATTGACAAAGATCAATGCAATTTTCACAGGTGGAGCGTTGTTGTTATCAGTTGCTGAAAGTAACTAAAAAAGTTACTTTTAATGTAACTTACTTTCCAAACCAGGTAATCAGTAATCTGATTAAAGTTACTTATACATATGCCATCGTTAGTGCATCATTAGCAGCATTAGAGGCAGTGTTAGCAGCAGTGTTAGCAGCATTATTAGTAGCAGTGTTAGCAGGATTGTTAGAGGCAGTGTTAGCAGCAGCATTAGCAGCATTATTAGCAGCAGCATTATTAGCAGCAGTGTAAGCAGCAGCATTAGCAGCATTATTAGGGGCAGTGCTACCAGCAGCATTAGCAGCATTATTAGCAACAGCATTAGCAGCATTATTAGCGGCAGTGTTAGCAGCAGCGTTAGCAGCATTATTAGCGACAGTGTTAGCAGCATTATTAGCAGCTGCGTTAGCAGCATTATTAGCAGCAGCGTTAGCAGCATTATTACCGGCAGTGTTAGCAGCATTATTAGTGGCAGTGTTAGCAGCAGCGTTAGCAGCATTATTAGCAGCAGCGTTAGCAGCATTATTAGCGACAGTGTTAGCATTATTAGCAGCAGCGTTAGCAGCATTATTAGC